CCACCTACTGGATGTAGAAAATTTGTTCAACAATCAGCATGCTACTTTACAAGAAGTAAGTGCTGCAGGGCAGAAATTTATTGTCACCTTATACAATTCCCAGTGCAATAATCTGGGGCTGAAAACATAAAACATCCAATCCGAGTAACTGTACATTTCGAAAAATTGCAAATTATTGGCCTGTTTGAAACTACAACAATGGATGCAAAGCAAATAAAGTTTCCATTTTAACCACTTCTTAGAAACGGCACCGTTGGATTGCTTTTCTTGTAGCTGAAATTCTTGGTGGCATTTGTCATAGATTGTCGAAACGTCCGGGGCGTGCAAATCCAAAGAGGTTTTCAAATTTTTAATTTTTTCTACAGCAAAGTTCCCGATTCAAAAACCTACAAGAGCAGAGCATTTATGGTTACAGAACCGATGGGGGCTGCTATTGTAAAACAGTACCTACTTGTAGCGACTACCCCTATCTAATTGGTTACATTACAGTTGGTTCAATAATATAATAATATAATATATTATGTTAACAATAGTAAGCGGTTTACACCGATGGAAACTATCGAAAGTGTTATTTGAGCTCCAGATTATGTGTCTCCCGATAAGATTTGTGGTAATTCACCGTCAACACTATTCTTAGAAATGTTCAGACTTTTGGCGCTGATAGTGTCTTCTGACAACGCGTTCCACTTATATACATTTCGGTTTGTGATGAAGTGTTTTGTTGGGAGCTTAGATGTTTTTTTCTGTCTGTAACTTAAGAGAATGTCCAAGTAGTTGTAAAATTTCACTGAGCCTAAACGGAATCGTAGAAATGTTAAAGTAGCCATTGAAAGTTTTATAGGTCTCTGTTAAATCTCCTTTTAGTCTCCTGACCTTTAATATTGTTAAATTTAGGTTTGAGAGGTGAGATTCATAGCTGTCATTATAATTATTCCTCAGTTTGGGCCCAAAATTTGGTCTTCCATTGAGAAGGAAAGAAATACCAATACCTACAATCATTAAAGATGTAGAATACTGCATCCGTAACCAAAATATCTCTAATGAAGAAAAAGACATTCTCAGAGCCCAATCTACAAATATAATCAGAAACTTTTACCGTAAAGATAACCCAACCACACACAAAGGGCTACTCCACAAGATCAAAACCACAAAACAATTTCTTATGGATAATCCGAATCAATAGTAAGCAGATCAGATAAAGGGAACTCTACAGTCATAATGGATAAACAGCAAGACCATCAGAAAATAGCAGAAATGCTTGGCGACACGAATATATATCAACCTGCTAACCGAGACCCCACCAACAAATTTCAAACACATGCAAATAAAATAGTGACCGAGTTGAGGAATCAGAACTTGATATCCATTCAAAAGGAAAAACAGTTGAAGAGACACAACTCTATCCCACCTAAACTGTATTGCCTGAGGAAAACCCACAAAAATGGACTACACCTAAGGCCTGTAGTAAGCTGCATCAATTCTCCAGGATACAACATAGCAAAATACCTACACGAAATACTCAACCCTTTGACAACTACATTCCACTACAACATTAAAGATTCCTTTCAACTCGCTAATGTTATAAAAGAGCATACAATACCAAATGGACATGATTTGGTATCGCTAGATGTTGTCAGTCTTTTCACAAGTCTGCCAAAGAAATTGGTTTTGGATATCATCACCAAAAATTTTGGATTCATATCAAATTATACAGAGATTCCTAAGAAAAACATTGTTGACTTGGTTGGCTACTGTTTCGATACGAGCTTTTTTTCTGATCAAGATAATATATACCTACAAAAAGATGGGTCAGCCATGGGGAACCCCGCATCACCAATACTGGCTAACTTAGTCATGAACCATCTTATTACTGAAGTCTTGAAAAGATTAAACTTTGATATTCCTTTTATATACGTATATGTTGACGACCCAGTCTTATCAGCTCCGCATGACCAGCTAAAAACACTGCTTAGCACTTTCAATGGCTTTCGCCCATCACTACAATTTACTATGGAGATAGAAAAGGATAAGAAAATTTGTTTTCTTGACATGGAAATTCACCACCAATTAAATGGAACTCTCATAACAAATTGGTATTTCAAGCCTACCAACTCGGGCCGGCTTTTGAATTACCTATCAAACCATCCAATGTCAAATAAAATAGGAGTCATACAAGGATCGAGCAATCAATTTGTGTCATCCAGATTTCCACACAGACAACATGAAGAAACTAAAGAAACTATTATTGAGCAACAATTACCCATTAAATTTCATCAATAGAATCATAAGTAGGTTTAAAGCAAAAACCAATCACAGAAAGAACCAATTGAGCAAATACTTCAAGTTTCCCTACATTGACGGCCTTTCGCAAAAAATAGAAAGATACTTTAATAAAACAGAAGCTCAATTAGCCTTTACAATATACGAACAACAAACTTTTTGTTTACACCGCTAAAAGATGAAACTCCACAAGAAAAAAGAAGCTCAATAGTGTATAAAGTACAATGTGAATGTCAGAAGTGCTACATTGGAGAAACAATGCAATATTGGACAAAAGAATGAAGCAACATAAATAAGATTGTCGCAATGACAGAATGCTGTACGGAGACAAAACTGCATTGTCAAAAAATCATCTCCAAAAAGGGTCACCAATTCAAGTTTATTGATGTGGAGATATTAGACTCAGAACCACAGATATATAGGAGAAAAGTAAGTGAGATGATCCATATAAGTTTGAACGACACTGCCAACATTAAAACTGACACCACAGATAGGTGCGGAATATACAGGGTGTCCTTAGATAAACTGACACATTTTACAGGTGAATATCTCGAAAACGAGAAAAGATAACGGGATGCGGTTTGTTCTGGAAGAATGAGGATTTTTTAAAGTTTTTTTCACGGTATTGACGAATCCTGAAATTTGGTTTCACAGACATTCGATTTTCTGAAATAATTACAATCTGCCTTATTCTTGATTAAACACCTGGTATATTTTGTCATCGTCAGAAAGCGTGACTTTTCTACTTCGCAAAAATGTATATTTTTTTTCAATTAACATGAAATTGAATCGTAAAAATTGTACTTGGTTGAGGAGCGTACCATCGACATCGACTGGCCAAATAAAAATGATTAAAATTAATTTGTGTTTTATATGCACTTATTTCTGTTTATTATTTGTATTATTAGTTAGCTATGCGCTAATTAGTTAATAAAAGTATTAAATACAAATTAATTCTCAATTTTTTTTTTGGTTAGTCGATAGTATTCTCTTCGACAAAGTGCAATTTTCACGATGCAAGTCCAAGATAATTGAAAAAAATTAAACAATTTTGTAAATTAGAAAAATCAGGCTTTCTGACGATGACAAAATCTACAGGGTGTTTCATTAAAAATATTGTTGTCAAGTGTCGGTTTCTATCACGCTATACAGGAAAGAATCATGAATCATTTCGATTTCATTAGAATTGAGATTCAATTTCTTTATTATTAATTAACATAATATTTGATGCAGCCGAGGAATCAAGCTATTTATTGAAAAGATATATTGATGCTCATTTTGTAAAGTTTTTTTTAAACCTAACGCGCTTCAATTTGTACAAGCCGGCAACATCGCACAATTTGGCTGTCATTTCTTCAATCAGCTGATAATGATAATGAAAAACCTGTTTAAAAATTAGTAAAAGCGATGGGGCACACAAATATTGTGTTTTTGGAAAGTGTAATAGTGACAGCAGAGTTGGAAGACCCGGATATTCCGAGGGATTAATTTTGGACCGCTTTCCCTGGCTATGTTTTCAACGTAAATTCTTTTTAAGTTCTAAAACGCTATTTTTCTCTACCATCTCATTACGTAAAATTGCACCCGCCACATCTGCTGCTGATAATTTAACTTTTTTAGAAGGCATTTGGGCCATTTTAAATTGGAAAAGGTATAAATTACAACTTTTTTATAATACTTGCTATGCTTTTTGGATTGCAAAACAAACCAGCCAACATAACCCCACTTATTTGACGCGCAAGCGCGTTGTGGACCTTGAAAAGGTCTATTCTCTGGATTAGTAGATAGGTGTCATAGGAAAAAAAAATGTGTAAAATATTGGATAAATATTCACCAAGCGCTTAGGTATAATTTAAAATTTTCTGTAGGATGATTTGAAAAAGCTGTTTTTAGTGTTGCTTCAAATTTTAGGTCGTCTTCATGATAAGATTTCATAAAATTTTGTAAGAAGTTGAAATTTTTTGAATATCTGAAACATTTTCCATACCTTTTAAGGCATTTTACACTTTTCTTGCCATGGGATTTACCTCCTATCTCGACCGTTTACACGAAGCTTGAATATGCTGATGAATGAGGGCAGATTTTACAGCCAAACCATCATCAGCCGTTCTAATAAACTAAATTATTTCAGAATTTAACAGTATAAAGACTGTTGTTTGAAAGAGTAGGAAAGCGTAAATGTGGTACTGACTTTGAATTTTCTTTTGAAGTCGGATTTCTTTGAGAAGTTGAAGCACTTTGAGAATGTTGTTTTGTATAACATAGTAGGTACCTACTTTGTTTTCAATAGTTTTGGACAACTGGAGCTTAGTCACAGTTATTCTCAAAAATGCACCACATACTCATCAGGTACCTATTTTCCAGTGCAAAAATCCCATTGAGGTAAACTTTTTCATTGCTTCAAAATATTTTTTGTCAAATGTGTATATTATGATGGTCGAATGCACACTTATTGTAAAAAGTAACCATGTATTGTTTTCGTAAAGTGCATCTGCTAGCCTATTATAGCAGTTTAAATGAATGAAAATCCGGTAATTAGTAATTATTACTAACACGCTAGCGGCCGTTTATAGTTTAATTATATTATTAAAAGTTCATTAGAACCTTCAGGCAGATGGACAATATATTTGATTAAGGAATTAATACCCAAAAATCAAAATTTCAAATTAAAAAAAAATTTGATAAATATAAATATTGGATTAAATTGTTCCACAACTTACCATGCATTGAACAAAAAACAACCAACACAAAAATCCAATTTCCACACAACATTTTCAAACAATTTCTATCGGTCCTTCTGGCGCTAGTCATGTTCTCCACAATTCTGAATTTAGAAATATATTTTATGGTCACGCAATTCGGTCACACACTAAAGAATATTTTTAGCGCAATAAACCAATAAAACAAAAACAAAAATTACAATCGGGATGGTGTTTTAATTAAAATAAAGTGCGACGGCATCCGCTCGATGCGAGTAGGATGCTTTTATTTGAAGCTTGGCGCGTAAACTGACTGGGAAAAGAAGGGAAAACTGAAAACTTTTGGTTGATGGCGTGCTTATTGGACGTCACACAGCACGAAAACGTAACCACACCCACAATTCGCTAGGAAAATGCAAAGTTGCATTTGAAAAATTATTTTATTCATTAACGCTTGACTTTGGTAATTTATGAACTTTGTGGAAGGGGTGTGATTTTTTTTAATAAACAATTTCTTTTTACAAATTTTATGAAAATTCTGGTAATTTAACATACTACACTACATAATCTGACCTAGTAGAGCGTGGAATAGAATTATTTTGAAACTGAGTAATGGTAAAGTGCAAACCATTTCGGTTAAAGTTAAATCGTTTAGATTTCAACAGGATGTCGTTTGATGTACCTAGTTGAAAAAAGTCAATGTTCCAAAAATATTTGAAGATAGGTACGTAGAAAACATGTTTCGTGAAAATATATTTAGAACTTGCAGTAGAATCTAGGTGCAGGTAACGCTTTTCCGAGTGACCCTGCATGATTTATTTTTTTTTTTTTTTTTAAATTAGGCATCGTTTCCAAGCAGTTCTTGATTAATCACCTACGAAACACCTACAAAAAATCTGGATGGAAATTTTTCGTTTCCACCTGATGAATTATTAGTTGTAACCCATAAACTCATTTTATCAGAAATGAAAATCTGGTAGAGTAGCAATTTTTTTACTAAATTTAAGACTTTACAATTTAATCTCTTTCCCTCAACGTCATTCGATCTGTCGATAGATTGGCCACCCTTACTGAAATAACGTTATTGGTGTTGTGGTGGTCACACGCTCCCGCTGTTTTTTCAGGTGTTGCTTTACAATCGTTTCGCTACTGCAATTCGTGTATAAAATGATTATTGATCATCCTACCTATCCTCAAACGTTTGACACAACCTAACTGGGTCCTTATTCTTGAAACAGGGGAGCAGCGTTCCCAGGAGAACGAGTGTTTTGTCTTTGTTCCTTATTTTGTCATTTGCATATCATTGAGAAAGACGGATCACTCGTTCTCCTGGGAACGCTGCTCCCCTTTTTCAAGAATAAGGACCCTAGATCTATTGGGTTATAGATACACCGAAACCGACGAGACTTTACATAATCTCTTGGAATGCAAACTCTATCTTTCCCAAAAGATACGAGTTTGCATCCTTCTTACGTGAGGATAATCTTGACGTAGCATTAGTCCAGGAGACTATGCTCAGACCACATAAAATTTACAACGTACAAAACTATATACAGAAATGACAGACCTAACAGTGCTGGTAGTGGTATTGCCATTTTCGTTGAAAACAATATCTCTTCTGACACTTGCCACTCCTGTCTCTGACAATGTGGAATACACTGGTATGGTAGTCCACCTTGCAGATAGCCCTTCAAATATTTTCAGCCTTCAGCCTTCTTCTAAACGCTTAACCCTTGATAATATGAACCTCTTCTTCGGTTCTGATGCTCCGACCTTAGCTGCAGGGGATTTAATCCGCAAAAACAGAGCCTGGGGGTGTCGCGCTAATAAAACAGCGGGACCTTTCCTACTTCAATTCACCCAAGACAACTTCATCTAAGTTCATGCCCAAGTAGCACTCCCATGTTGGGCCAATATTGGGACAATAACTACGATTTATTGGCCCAAGTCAGATTCTCTATGTTGGCCCAATAAAAGATGTGGACATTCTGCTATATTTGTCCAAGAACGTATGTCAATATATACCCAAAAACAAATACCAACGTTGGTACAATAACGTAACCAAATGTTGGCCCAAAAAGAAATAATCAATATCATATCAAGAACTTTATGCAATATAGAGCCAATTGAAATTACCAATATTGGCCCGAAGACGTATGTAAATCTTGACTTTATATTATATTTAATTAAGGTAACGGACCAATTATAAGGACCGACTAAGAAGTGTTTTCTCTCTGCCGGACCATCCGTGGACCCGTTTCGCTGTATCACAAGTCATCAGCATGGTTAAGTCCCGCCAGGGTCCCGCAGAGAGAAAACAACCAATTTTTGGCTTCATCCTGGAACCAAGTTTAAGACAGGTAAAGTGAAGACAGAGTCTCCATCTATTTTTTGGTCGGCACACCAAGTGCGCACATTGAATACTCTATATTGGACCAACATTTTCAATTCAGAAAATCTAACCTTGGTAAAAATTAGTATGTAAATATTGGCCCTTCATTGGGTTTTTCAAAAAGTATCAATATTGCGAAAAAATTGGAAATAAATATTGGGTATACAAAGTTTTTGAAGTGAATTTAAATATCAATAAAAAATTGAATGCCAATATTGAATTAATATTATATTACAATATTGTTTCGATAATATAAAATGTAATATTTGGCCAATATTTCATAAATCAATATTGTAGTGAAAAGTCTTGGGCCAATATTCAAATTACTGAAGAGTTAATTAATCTACGAAAACAATATTGGTACAAGATTATTTTTAAATATTGTTTCCACATAGTTAAAACTAACGTTGCCCCAATATTGGTACTGTGTTGATTTATCAACAAAAATGAATAAATATTGGCCCAACTGAAAAACGATGTTTACCCCATATTATGTGCTACTTGGGTGCTCCATGTTCTCTTAAAGCCAACAGCCCTCACTTTAATTATATTACCCCTCACATTCTAGACATTGCATAATCTAAAAATGTTCCCTATAACATTGTTATTGGCAATATAGATGATCTCAGTTCCGACCAAAATCCAATCTATCCAATCCTAAACGTTGGTGACCAGGTCTAAAATGTAAATACTTGTCGTTTTAAACACGACTCTGGACATTGACAGTGAAGAAGTAAATGACTGTTTAAATAGCACATAAATTACTATTACTACTAAATAAAACAATCCATACTCGCACTACCACATTAAATACGCCAGCAAATTAATTTGAGAAATCGACTTAAAAGACTGGCAATAAGGACTAGATACCCTAACATTAAACTGGAATGTAACCGACCTACCAACTTAATTGAAACTTTATTTGAGCCAGGTAGTTGATATACTGGATGTTCACCCATGAGCACAGTCTGTGCGGTAACTTACAGTCGGCCAGACCTGATGACTATCCTTCGCGTCCTCGTGAAGCTAGGGTTTTTTCCCTGAGCATCTGTTACATAACTATAACACGTAAAGTATATTGAAACAACAATATTTACAAAATACATATTTTAGAAGAAAAAAAAAATCTATTCATCAAGTACTCTCAGATTCAGCCGCATTTGCTATGGATATTTTCATTTTTTCTGACGGACATATCCCTGTATATGCCTTTCTGGAACGTTTAGACCCAGGCAAATCATTAATCACGTAATGGTCATTTCGAAGTTTTTTCGTAACGACAAAAGGTCCTTTAAATCGTGGTTCGAGTTTTCTACTCTGTCCATCATTAGGGCCTTTTGCCTTTTGGACAAGAACATGTTGTCCAACTTCAAACATTTTTGGTGAAGCATGTTTACTATCGTAACGTTCTTTCTGATATTCTTATGTTGACATAATTCTCTGAGAAACGTCATTCCAGATCAGGGCCGGTATTCTCGTTCTCGAAAACGCTCACCGCGTTTTAGTCGCTCGGCACTTTAAATGTAAATTTACATAAGAAGTGCCGAGTGGTGAGTATTTTCGTGAATGAGAATACCGGCCCTGGTCTTTCGTATTCGTATACTTCGGCTGTCACAAAGGCATCGTCAATACCTCGTGGCTTATATCCAAGAAACAATTCGTATGGACTCTTCCCAGTGGTTAAATTAACCGTAGAATTACTTCCCCACTGTACTCTATTCACGGCCTCATCCCAACTAGTTTCCTCGTCGGTTGATGCCATTAACGATGAAAGAATAGAATGGTTCATCCGTTCTACTTGGCCGTTAGCCCTGGGTGTGTCAGTAACGCACAAAACTTGCTTAATTTCTAAACTCAAGCAAAAATCCTTAAAACTTGCGTTCGTAAAAGCGGTACCGCGATCACAAACTATACGCCTTGGAACTCCAAACATCTCTATAAATATAATACTTTCCAGGTAGGCCAATTTTTGTATTTGCCACTGCTTTTATGGTCATTTGCACGGCTATCACTTAAGAGATATTTAATCTAAGTGGAGCTTTGAATGTGACTTTTGTTTCGACAAGAGTCACATTCAAAGCTCCACTTGGATTAAATATCCCTTAAGTTATTTATACGCAAACTGTGTAAACCCGTCCACTACCACAATAAAGGTATTTGTTTCTCCTTCTGCTAGTTACGAAAGATCCAAGGTAATCTATGTGAATCGTGTCCATCGAGACAGCTTCCTTTTCTATCAGATAAAGACTGCCTGTGGAATTTCTCCAGAAGGGTTTTTGTTATAAAGGGTGGCCCATCGAAAACAGCCAAGCAAGGTTTACAGCTTTAAAAGTATAAATTCTTAAAAACCCTCGGACCAGTTAACTTTGGTTTTCAGGGGGACACATTTCATTATCAATTTCATCCCTGTAATCTCAACCCCCTGACGGGAGTGGCTACTGCCCCTATTTTTCTAAATGGGAAGAGGTATGTTGCGATACATCTTTTTAAAGGGCATCAAATTCTCTTTAAAATGCCGCTTCGTTTTTCAAATTTGAGCTACGCCTCGTCGAGAAATTTCATTTTAAAAAATGTTATTTCATGGAGTAAGTACCTCAGGTAAAGTGTGTTTTTTTTTTAAAGATAATTCCCCAAGTCAAAAATTTAGTAACTATGTTGGCAGCACAAGCCATAAAAAATTTGAAAGAATTGACATTTTTACATTGTGTTGCCAACATAATGTCATTTTGACTTTTATCTTTAAAAAAAAAACAGACTTTAGATACAGATCGTTTTACCAGAGTTCATACTTTTGACATCGAACACGCCATAACTAAAAAAAGGGTTGTCGTAAATTAATTCATATGACACATCAATTTTTTTGACAAATTAAAATGAACGCTGTGTCTAGCCTCCCGGCACCGGTATTCATACGAATCCCGG